ACCAATTGTTCCATGACCAGGAAACGCTCCACAACCAAGATTTCATAGTAGAACAAAGAGCTACAGAAGCTTAGGTCGGAGGTAAGAAAGAAATTCAACAAAGCCAGGAAATCAGGCTTACCACAACACTGGGAAATATTTAGAAATTCCCAATGCAAATACAGCAAGGCAATCATAAAAGCCAAGCGCAAAAGCTGGAGAGATTTCTGCAACAGTATAGAGAATGCCTCAGAGGCATCCAGACTAAGCAAAATCCTCAAAATCCAAGATAACCGTCCCATTTTAGGATGCCTAAAGCGGCCCGATGGTAATTATACGGAAATTATAAGAGAGTCGTTGAAACACCTCCTGGAGATACACTTTCCGGGGTTTCAGGAAACGACATACTCACAAAATAAGTTAAATGATCAAGAAACTAGGGAAGAGTATAAACTTAGGGAATGGTCACTGGCGGCTGAAGTGGTGTCCCCGAAGGCGGTCGAATGGGCGGTAAGGACCTTCGATCCCTATAAGGCACCAGGACCAGATGGAATAAGTCCCATACTCTTACAAAAGGGACTTAGCTACTTGATAGGTCCACTAACCAAAGTGTTTAGGGCTAGTATAGCATTAAGACATGTACCACAAGCCTGGAGAGGTACGAGAGTTATTTTCATACCAAAGCCGGGCAGAAACGGCCATATATTGGCAAAAGACTTCAGACCTATTAGCTTTACATCCTTCCTGCTGAAAAGCTTAGAAAGACTGGTTGATAATCATCTGAAAAAAGGAACGTTAACATTGCATCCACTGGCTGCGTCTCAGTATGCCTATAGGGAGGGCAGATCAACAGATACTGCCTTACATCACCTTGTGAGCAGGATTGAGACGCAGCTAGAGGCAAAAGGATATGCACTGGGAGTCTTCCTGGACATAGAGGGAGCTTTTGACAGCACCTCATACAAAATGATCAGGGAGGCGATGACCAGGCACCACATTCCTACAGGGCTTGTGGATTGGACACAAAGCATGTTGACGGAAAGAGTTATAACGGTCAACTTTGGAGACTTAACCCTGGAGGGGGAACCATCCAAGGGATGTCCGCAGGGCGGGGTGCTATCGCCGCTGCTGTGGAGCCTGGTGGTCAATGACCTCCTAGTTAAGCTACAGGAAATGGGGCTCTCCACATATGGTTACGCAGATGACGTGGCTATAGTGGCAAGGGGCAATTTTCTCTCAACCCTCAAGGAACTGATAGACAGGGCCCTTAAGGTTGTACAAAACTGGTGTCAGGCTAAGGGGCTAAAGGTAAATCCAATGAAGACCGAAGCCATGATCTTCACCAGAAAATACAAACCCGAGCCCATAGAACCACTAAGGCTATGGGACATAGAAATAAAATATGCTCCTCTGGTGAAATATTTGGGAGTCTATCTAGACCCCAAACTCAACTGGAAACAACATCTCGAGATGAAGAGGACTAAATTCTACGCAGCCTTCTGGGCATGCAGAAGAGCAATGGGCAAAACATGGGGCCTAAAACCCAAGATAGCCCTATGGTTATACAAGGCAGTCCTACTACCTTGACTGAGACTGACCTATGCAGCCGTAGTCTGGAAGTCCAGAGTGGAAAAAGTGGGAGCTAGGAACCTGCTGAGAAGCCTTCAAGGTAACTACCTGAGGGCGTTAACGGGGGTCATGAGAACCACCCCCACAGAGGTGCTAGAAGTAGCACTCTGCGTTCCACCACTGGACAGAATCATCATTTGTATAGCCAGACTCACGGCCTATAGGCTAAAATGCCAAAGCGAGTGGAGAGGTGGAGGAAGACAAATGGGACTAGAGCTACTCCAAGAAAGCCCCTTCACTCTAAGACAGGATAGGATCCCAAAAAAGTACCAGTTGGATAGGAACTTTAAAGTTCAAATACCAACAAGGGACGAGTGGAAAACTATCAGGCTTCCCATACATCCAAACACGGACATCTGGTACACAGACGGGTCGGGGGCGAATGGTCGCTTTGGAGCGGGCTTCTATTGCCAGAAGTTTGATCAAAGGGTAACTATACCTATGGATGAATGGGCCACAGTATTTCAGGCGGAAGTGCTTGCCATACTGAAATGCGTCAAAATCCAAATTGCACAAGACGTAAAAGATAGGAGCATTCTTATCTGCTCGGATAGCAGAGCAGCGTTAGGCGCGCTCGAAGGAACCACCACTGAATCATCAGTGGTATGGGACTGCAAGCAGGCACTAAATAAATTGGGAGAAACTAACAAAGTCACCATCATATGGATCCCTGGACACAGGGGACTACATGGCAATGAAGTAGCGGATGGCCTTGCAAAACTGGGTACTCTGGAGGACCCGCTTGAGCAGGAGATGGGCATTCCCTTCGCCGTTGGTAAAGAGTATATCAAGAAAAGCCTAGAAAAGGAGCATCTGGACTCATGGGAACGAGGACAAGGCTGCCGGCGGGCTAAACTCCTGATTGAAAAACCATCGAAAAGTAGGGCCCGTGAACTACTGACGATGAACAAAAAGAAATTGAGGCTCGCAATTAAGCTCCTTACGGGACATATGGCCTTAAGAGCACATCTATACAACCTGAAAATGGCTGAGCCAAAAAATTGCCGGCTATGCGGGGAAGAAGAGGACAGCATCCACATCCTGTGTCGTTGCCCCCTATTAGCAATAAGAAGATACAGATCCTGGGGGCAGATGTTCTCAGAACCCAAAGATCTAAAAGAAATGAGGATCAACAAACTATGTGGCCTGGTAAATAACACCGGGCTAGACCAATAGGAGCATCTCAAGTAAACAGCGGGATGTCACAGAGGAACTTATAAATCCAGGTGACTGTAAGAGCTGAAATAACTCTACCCGCTCAAGACTTACTTACTTACTTAACTCACGATGATCTTTTCTCTTTTCCGCTTTTTTTTCCCGATCGGACGCATGGTTTAACCACAATTGTATAGCGTCTTCCAATTTTTTGATGTTAGCAGACGCGTGCGCCGATGCCACGGAATCTATAACAAATAGAATATTATTAATAGAACTGTTTTACTGCGTAACTGAAAAAGTAATATAGTAATTATATCTGACTTTAGAAGATCAAGCATACTATCCATAACTTTATATTAATGAAATATTCATGTCGTACATGTTGTATACTTTAATGTGACTTACCTACAATAAGTTTTGAAATCAACAAATCTTTAAATCTAATAGTTTTTTTCTGTCTGCTCCAAGAATACTTAATAGCTAGTGTATTAGTAATTATTCGTCTCATTGCTCGTCTGCCATGTTCTCCAATGTCTTT